CCCCAAAACCCCAAAACCCCAAAACCCCGAAATTAAAAATTAAGAATAAGATTTGCTAAGAAATTTTAAATAAATTAAAATGCAGAATGAAAGTAATACAAAAGATAGTGGCCTGAATTCAATTATATTTAGTTCAGCCCTTTAATAATATCTAGACTCCCCTAAACCCAAGGGATCAAAGTAAGCTTGAATGTATGATTTTATATATAGGCAAAAGTATCAAAATCCAACTAGTTTCCAATAAATTCTAGCATAAAAAACCTTTATTCATTTTAGCTAGGAGATGAAAAAACAATAAACTCTTATAAGTAGCTTAAATACATACTCTCAGGCCTTTGAAACATCAAATTACTTCAGCAAAAGATTTGCCTCAAGAAATGATAATCAGAGCTAGGTCGCAGATTTGAAGGCAAGAAGCAACACTATTTATAAAAACTGGGATAAGAAAAAGGCTCGCATAGAGTATTGGAAGAAGAAAGAGATAGATTAAAAAGTGATTAAAACTGACGTGAATCCAGACGAAAACTAATAAGATATCAATAAATAAAGACAATTGCTGATAGAATTCAGAGATCTGGGAAAGAATTTATTCTCAAATAGAAAGCTAGCCAAATCTTAAATAGCAGTTGCGCAGAGTTAGAAGCTTTAGCATTAAAATAACCAGAGGAAAATTCTTCAATAAAAACAAGATAGGGAATAAAATAAAGTTACTACAATTTTGAAAGAAACTTTGTAAGAGATTAAACCTGAGAAAAATTATAGAAGAACTATAGATATTAAGAAAAATGTAGTTTAAAAGTGTATTGATGAGAATGTACCCTCAGTGTATCATTAGTTTAATAAAAATCTTGACAAATTAGAGCTATTTTAAATGGTTGATTAGCACTACAGATAATCAGTTATTCAAGACAAGGATATGAATACGGATTTATAGTTGGAGTATTAAAACCATTATGCTGATAATCAAACGAGAAATGAAAACTTGTAATTGAAGAAAAATAAGTCATCAAATTAGTATTTGGTTATGTAAATTGAGGATTAATTATTGCCAGTCAAAAAGATAGTTCCAGATAGAAGTTTGAAAAAACTGTTAGGAATAGAGAACTGGGAAAATGATTAGTAAAACAACCTAAATTCGAATGAAATTAATTAAGCGAGTGCTGATGGGCTGCCAATATCTCTCAAGGATTACAATTGGGTTTACTAGGATAAGATTTAACCAACCAAGTCAAATGAGAGATTACACAAGAATCTATCAAATCTTGAATAGTAGATTGAGGGCTAACTTCCACATAACCCTATGCTATCCTTTCAATAACTAGATAAAACTAAAAATCAAAAAGGCATTGATGAGACCAGAGAAAAGCTAAAGAATCTGAAAGAGAGGATTTAATCTCAAAAAGACAAAAAGCCCATGTTTAGAGAGGTTTTACACTCAGGCTATTGGAAATATAAAAGCAAGCATTTTGATGACAGCTCAACTAATATTTATGGAACATTCTAACAAGATGATAATGATATCAAGCCATTCACCATAACTACAGAGTCAAATAGCATTCCAGAACTTGCAAGTCTGAATTTGTTTAGAAGTTAAGAATTATAAAATGAAAAAAGAACTCAGAATTTATCAAATACTCGATACCATCACTAAGGCTCTAAAGCTTTAAATAATGACAGCCCTAAGATGTTAAAATCACTTCCAAACATTAAGAACAATAAAGGTAATTCAATCATAATGTAAAACTAAAATATAAGGGATATATTGTAGAAATAGCAAATCAAGCAAAACTTAGTAAATGAAAGCATATCGAAGAATTGGATAAAGGGAAGAAACAATAGATCATTGAAAGAGTGATGTCATTAGCCTATAAATGTGAAACTTAACATTAATTATGCTATTTTTATTTATCTTGATTTCTTAATTACTCCTCATTCTATTAAATAGCACATTAAGGGGTTTTGGGGTTTTGGGG